AAGAACTCTGAAAATAACTGCAAGTATTACACGGATGAGCAGTTTAACAGCAATGTCAAGACTGAAAACAAATTATCACTAATTCACTTTAATAGCAGAAGTTTATACGCAAACTTTCAGAGTATAAAACATTATCTTAGTAGTCTTACACACTCTTTTAATATAATTGCTATTTCTGAAACTTGGATGAATAATGTAAGGGGAATGGATTTTGACCTTGATGGCTATGACTTGGTATGCACAAACAGAGAGAATAAGATGGGAGGTGGTGTGGCCTTGTACATAGATAAAAACTTTTGTTATAAGAGAGTGGAGAAAATGTCAAGGGTGGTGGATAATTTGCTGGAGTGTGTGACTGTAGAAATACTCGTGGAAAAAAAGAAAAATGTTGTAATTAGCTGTATTTATAGAGCACCTGGAGCCAGCATAGAAAAATTTATGACTGGATGGAAGAAAATTATTTGACAATAAGTCATAAATTAATGTTCATATGTGGTGACTTCAATATAGATTTGTTAAATCCTAACAAGCACACAGGAACTGAGGAGTTTATTAACATAATATATAGATGTAGTTTATACCCAAAAATTACAAAACCAAGTAGATTAACAACCCAGCATGCAACACTAATAGATAATATATTTACTAATGATATTGACAGCAAAATGTCAAGTGGATTACTTATAAATGATATTAGTGATCATCTACCAGTATTTGTGGTTTATGAGGGCCAGTATAGAAAAAAGAGGTCAAAAACAAATCTATAGGAAGGTGACGAATGAATATGCTGTAAGGAGCCTAAAAAGAGGATTTTATGGGGCAAAACTGGGAATCAGTTTACAGAGAGGAAGACTTAGATGAAGCATATGAGCAATTTTTAAATATACAGTGAGTACGGAAAGTATTCAGACCCCCTTAAATTTTTCACTCTTTGTTATATTGCAGCCATATGCTAAAATCGTTTAAGTTCATTTTTTTCCTCATTAATGTACACACAGCACCCCATATTGACAGAAAAACACAGAATTTTTGACATTTTTGCAGATTTATTAAAAAAGAAAAACTGAAATATCACATGGTCATAAGTATTCAGACCCTTTGCTCAGTATTTAGTAGAAGCACCCTTTTGAGCTAATACAGCCATGAGTCTTTTTAGGAATGATGCAACAAGTTTTTCACACCTGCATTTGGGGATCCTCTGCCATTCCTCCTTGCAGATCCTCTCCAGTTCTGTCAGGTTGGATGGTAAACGTGGGTGGACAGCCATTTTCAGGTCTCTCCAGAGATGCTCAATGGG